GGGTGCACGCGAATGTAGTCGAGATTTCCGCGACTCTTCTACAGCGCTCAGCTGAACTGCTCAATGCACAATTGGGACCAGAAGGCATCAAGGCAGTCGGAGGAAAGAATTGGTGGCAGTGGAGACGCGAAGGCACAACACTCAAGGCCGAGTGGATCGAGATGCGTAAGGACTACGACGCGAGGAAGCAGCTGGCAATCACCAAAGGCGATCGCATAATGCTCTATGTTCATGGCGGCGCATACTTCTTTGGCAGCGTCGACGAGCACCGCTATCAGATGCAGCGGCATGCGCGCAAGCTCAAGGCTAGGGTGCTGGCGCCCAAATACAGACTGGCGCCTCAATTCCCCTTCCCATGTGGTCTGCATGACTGTAAGTGGCCTGCTCGATATCAATACAGGAATACTAACACCTCCAGGTCTGGCCGCCTACCTCTATCTTCTCGAACAAAAGCACGACCCTACGACGATTATACTCGCTGGCGACTCGGCAGGTGGCGGCATGGTACTCAGCATGCTCGTGACAATGCGCGACCAAGGCATACCATTACCCGCAGGAGCCATCCTGATCAGTCCATGGGTAGACTTGACACACAGTTTCCCCAGTCTCGGAGGAGATGGCAAGATGGACTACATTCCCTCGCACGGCTTCATCCACAAGCCGAGCATGAGCTGGCGTAAGCTGGTTGTGTCCGTATCGAAGAGCGATTACTGACCACATACAGCACCCCCCAACGCAGACGATATGCTGGACATCGAAACATCCCTCAAGGGCTCGACTAAGAAGAAGAACAGCTCAGACAAGACGGAGGACAAGGCAGCAAAGAAGGAGGCGGAAGCTGAGCGCGTACGAGGCTACTCCGTCCAATCTGGAGATCGACCACCTCTAGAAGAGGTCGCGGATCCATCAGCTACAGGACAAGGTATGGGTACTTGGATCTCGTCAAATGGCAAATACAGCATTGGCCCCAAGAGCCAGCTATCAGTTCAGCTCGAAGATGAACGCGTCGAGATCAAGGACCAGATCCAGATGTACGCCCCGAATCATCTCTTGACACATCCTCTGGTATCGCCAGTACTACAACCAACACTCGGAGGGCTGCCACCTCTACTCATCCAAACTGGAGGTGGTGAGCTACTCAGAGACGAGCAGATCTACCTAGCGCACAAAGCTGCGCAACCACTGGCCTACATACCACCACCTTCCAACAATCAGACTGCTGAGTCCATTCAAGCTCAAGCCCCCAGCTACAGGCCTACGAACGTTCAGCTCCAGGTCTGGGATGATCTATGTCACGTCGCACCTACGCTCAGCTTCACCCGCCCGGCAAAGCACATGTACCGTAGTATAGCCCAGTTCGGTGCTTGGGCGCTTGCACGCGCTCAGAAGAAGTCCATCGACATCCTCGACGATGACGACATCTCCTTCATGAGCAGTGATTCAGGCACTTCGTCTGAATCTGACAAGGCTGGCTCCGGTTCTTCGTCAGACGACCCCAAGTCCGCGGACAAACATCCCAAACCCACCAAAGCGGAGAAGAAAGCTGCTCAAGATGCACGCGTTGGCCGAGCTGGTGACGCGATTCCGCCATTCGAACGCCATATGATCCGCCAGCGCATCGATCGCCACGGACGCATCTATGCACTCGGCCCGAAGGAAGAGCTTGTTGCACTGAACGTCCCTAGCGTTGATGTGGGCGTGCCAAAGACAGGACCCGTCAGCAAATGGATGAAAGCGCAATCTCAGTGGAACAACAAGTTCTCCAAGCAGAAGATCAAGATCCAGAAGCAGCGTATTAAGGATATGCAGAAAGGTTTCGAAGGCTTCGAGGGAGAGACACCCCCACCGACTGCCTTGGCCGGTAGAAGGATCAAGGGCATGAAGGCCGAGAAGGCGAAGAAGAGGAGTTGGGGTATGTCGATGTGGGCTGGATGGGGCAGTAAGCATGACTCAGCCACTGTAAGTGCACTCACTCTCAACATCAGACACGATGACGTTACTAACACGCCTCAGATCGTCCGCGAAGAGAAAGCAGACCAGAACCCCGACACCGAGGCCTCTACCTCCGCCCCCGACCCCGCCAACACAACCACGGACGGCACAACAGAAAGCGCGCCAACCCGCAGCCGAGCCAACAACCTCACCGCCCCCGGCATAAAACGCTCGCGCTCTCACTCCCGCCACTCCGCCGTAACCGACAAAGGCCAAACCGGTCTTCCCATGGACGACCTCTCCAAGATCAAGATCGACCTACCCACCCCTGGCCTCGCCGACGCAACGACCCTCGCCCCAGAACGCTCTGCCTCGCCCCTCCCCTCCCCCACTAGCGAACTCAGCTCCCCCGGTGTTGGTGTTGGTATCCCACCCAACATAATCGTCTCGGACAACCCCGACAACTCCAGCACCATTATCCCCGAAACAGATACTTTGACTACCCGTCCCACGGCTGGCGGTATCGCATACCCGTTTAGTTTGAAAGTTGATGGGCCGGATGGCAGGGATGTTAATGCTAGTACGCTTACGCTTGCGAGTTTGAATGTTGCTACGCCGCCGGCTGGGGAGGGGGATGGGGATGAGGGGGGGAAGCAGCTGGGTAGTATGTTTCCAGCTGGTGAGAGTAGTATGGTGCTGGGGGGTGAGAGTGAGAGTGTGAATGAGCAGGTTTTGAAGGAGGAGAGGCCGGGGGTGGAAAGATGGTTTACTGCTGGGGCTGGGGCGGGGCTGTTTAGTGATGGTGTGATGGAAGAGAAGGTGGAGAGGCCGGGGATTGAGAGGTTTGAGACTGCAATGGATGGGTTGGGTATGGGTGCTGCTGGTAATAGCGAGAAGCTGTGATACTTGTAGGTGGATATAAAGCCAGGGACAGGTTGAGAGAGTGTGGAAGAAGATGTGAAAATACTGTAGATACCCAATTTTCCTTACTGTGAGTGGTCTTAATACAAACGTACACATTCTATCGCATGCACATGTAGAAGATCAACCACTAGAAAAAAGAAGTTGAACATCTACCCATGACAAGGCTACATCCTCTTGGAGGTCTTACCAGATCTTGTCTTTATGCCATTATATACGGCAGTGTACCGGTGCACTTTGTACCTCGTACAAGGCGGCACTGCATGTTACGCAAACGAACGAACGCGTATCGTGAACATATACCCGAACTTGCGTGTTTTTCATAAGTATAGAAAGCTACCCTGGATACGTCCTCCCTGAGTTTAATCAGCACCACAACTTGCTGGTACGCTCTTGAAGATGCAACCACCGCCAACGGATGCTTGGCTGTCGCACCAGGTAGTCATAGATCGCGGCCTCTTACACGACGGTGTCGTGGAGATAAAAATGGGCTGCCTGGGTTTGTGGAGCTAGACGAGCCCGTGCACGCTACTGTAGACGGTGTATCGACGGATACCCCGATCCCGCAGAAAAATGATAACGGAGATCTGGTGTTCGAGCAGCTCGAGGTCAAGGCTGGGACATTGATTCTAATGCATGGAAATCTTGTGCATACTAGTGAAGCCAACAAGAGTGGAAAGAGCCGTGTCGCATTCAACTTTGGCGTAGCTGAGGGGACGCACGAGTGGTTAGCAGAGAACTATTTGCAGCCTTACGAGGGTGAGACGGAGTTTGAGCAGCTTCGTGCTTGTTAGTGAGGGGTGCGCGATGGAAATGCATGGGCGAAAGGATAGTGTAGAGAAGGGAGGCAGCCCTAGAGGTGTCGATAGCTCACCTGGGCAGGCTCGGGGTTAGTGGGTTCTTAGGCGATGACGCAATCATGCATGACGTAGTCTGCTTAACACCCACCCTTGAAGCTCATCAAGGAATCTCCCTCGACGCATACGAAGGCCTCTATCCCATTGAAACTGTTGCTCATGATCGACCCAGGAGGTATTCGCAGAATCTGGCATCGATGCAGTGTAGAAACGTAAGACAGTGTATAGCTCCAGGCTATGGGGTAGTACTTGCCTGCCAGACCCGAAGGCACAATCTTTTCACAAGACATATCGCACAAAATCGCACAACGCGCTGCAAGTACACAGACAGTGACTGGTGGAAGTTGAAGAACAAGAATGTCTCGCTTACCCTTATTCGCTGCACGTAGGTTGACTATGCCTGGCCCTCTCGCTTGTTGTCAGCTTCCGAGGGCGCCTGCCGTCTTTTGCGGAGTGCACGCGCATGAACCCCACCACATCTCATGCCGCCCCTTCAAACACTGTCCACCCCGTCTCACGGATGCTCCCGCTGTGTCACCACGAGATGAGCTCGACGCTACCTCAAGCGCCCTCATGGTCAGAACAAACTGAACGCAGCATCTGTAGCTGGGATCATGGCTGGCAGCACTGGAGTTACGGTAACCACCAGGGGAATACCACCCTGTCAAACGTGCGCGAGGCTGCACGCGATGGCTGCGTTCGATGCAAGCTACTTCTTCGAGGAATTGAGAAGTACACGTTTCCTCCTTACCGCCCTCATCGAACTACCGAAGCCACGTTGAGCGAGTACGAGCCCGATCAGGTGATCAGGGTTAACGTCCGCAACGATCCAGACACGCCTCTGCGCGTGACGGTACAATACACAGGCATGGCAAGTAAATCAGGGAGTTTACCCATGGAGTTGTACTTTTACACTCATCCCGGTTCGTTTGCTAGTATAGCACCTACGACATGCACTTACTATGCCCAGACAAGCCACCTTACTTTTCGGATATTCAGCCAGCAGGACATATTACGGCTGACCCTGCCTCCCAAGCTTGCTTCGACATAGTCATAGAATGGATTAGGAAGTGTGATACTCTGCACCCACAATGCTCTCCCAGAACAGATATGTCAACGACACCAACGAGGCTCATCTCGGTCGGTTCATCATCAGCTGACATCAAACTCTGCAGCGTGGGTGACATGCCAGCTGATAACCGATACGTCGCCTTGAGCCACACCTGGGGTGTGAAAGAAGAACGGAGGAAAGCCATGCCCTTGCTCTTGACTGGAAACATCTCTACTCGCATGCTCGGCATACCATGGGACGAGCTCACGCAAACGTTCCAGGACGCCATCACGATCTCCAGGAAGGTAGGCATCCCATATGTCTGGATCGACTCATTATGCATTGTGCAAGATGACCAAGAAGACTGGGCTAAAGAAGCCTCACGTATGGCATCAGTGTACAAGTACGCCTACCTGGTCATCGCCGCGACGAGCTCGAAGAACGGCGACGATGGATGTCTTCGTCCCAGAGTCCCAAGCCACGACTTATCCGACCCATTTGATGGTAGCTTCCATGTACAACGGCAGATATCTCACCGCACAATCATTGAATGGCAAGCAGAGAGTATTGATATGCCTCTTCTGGATCGAGCTTGGTGTTTTCAAGAGCGACTGCTCGCCTCCCGGATACTTCACTATACCGAAAGCGAGATGATGTGGGAATGTCAAGAACAGCTCTGGTGTGAATGCCAGCTCATCCAATTCGACGATCCATCGGCAAGGTCCAGTTTCGACAATCCATTGACAATGAAACTAGACACATTCAAGCTTTCTTATGCCGCAGCGGTGGCATCGAAAGAGCCTGAAATACGTGCCAGCTCATGGGATAAGGTTGTGAGAGAGTATTCTCAGCGGGCATTAACGTTCGGCACCGATCGACTTCCTGGTATCTCTGGAATCGCCAAAGAAATTGCGCTGCCATCGATGGGAAGATATCTGGCCGGTCTATGGGAATTTCAACTCCCTGAAGCACTCTTGTGGAACACTGTAGGTGGAGTGATCGACCGTCCATGGGTACTTCCAAGACCTTTGCGATATGCGGCGCCCACGTGGTCTTGGGCGTCGACACTTACAGCCGTCGCTCTAAGAGAAAAGAATTCAGTGGCCAAGTTCACGGGATCATCCACAGTATCAGTCTGTCGGGTGATAGATGTGACATGTACACCACAGACCGCAAATCCTTACGGACACGTTCGAGATGGGCGATTGAAAATATCCGGGCCGACAATAGGAGCGACCCTGATGCGCACAGATCGTGTATCCGAAGCCACACGCTACGATGTCTTCCTGGAGAACCAGAACTCTGAGGCACCAGAGAAGTCAGCAAACCTCGACATGACGAGTGATATTGAACTGATGGAGACTGTTGTAAGCGTGGTGCTATTGGTTATAGAGACCTGGTCCTACGATACGAGCTCTGAACGCCGGGTTGCCTGTCTCGCATTGGTCAAATCAAAGACGCACAGTGAGTGCTATGAGAGGATTGGAATCGTCAGCGGACGGGGACTGGAGTTGTCGCAGACCAAGGAATGTGAATTCATTATCGTCTAGCTTCGCCTCGGAGATAACATAACCCCGCATGACATCACCTCGGTATTCCTAGAAGACGACACCACGACACCACAGCCATCTCCCATTGCAATCAATTGAACACATTCAATATACCCTACTCCAAACCTCCAACTTCTATACTTCCAGCATGTCCGTATTCCGCCCCTCAGCACACGCCCTAATAACAGGCGGCGCATCCGGCGTCGGCTACGCCGTCGCCCAACTCTGCCTCAAACACTCCATGCGCGTCTCCATTGTCGACTTCAACCAATCCTCTCTCGACATCGCGCGCAAAAACCTGTCTGGCGACGTAAAATGCATCCAAGCGGACGTCTCCTCGCGTTCAGACTGGGCCTCAATCCGTCAACAAGTCGGCACAGACGTAGACTTCCTGATGCTAAACGCCGGCATCAGCGGAAAAGGAACGTGGGGTGATGAAGACTATTTTGACAAGATCATCGCTACGAATCTGGGAGGTGTGGTGAATGGGTTGAATGCGTATGTTCCGACTTTCAAGGAGAGAGCGGGGAAAGACGGGAAGGGGGAAGCTGCGATTGTGATCACGGGGAGTAAACAGGGTATCACGAATCCGCCTGGTAATCCTGCGTATAACGCTAGTAAAGCGGCTGTGAAGACGCTGGCTGAGCATTTGAGCTATGATATGAAGGACACGGGTGTTGGGGTTCATTTGTTGGTTCCGGGGTGGACGTTTACTGGGCTTGTAAGTTCATTGCTCCTGTTCACTGGCAACAACTAACGCGCATCACAGTCTGGGAACGAGCCAGGCTCGACGAAGGCCAAACCGGAAGGTGCATGGTCAGCCGACCAAGTGGCTGATTACATGTACACCAAGATGCAAGCCAAGAAATTCTACATCATCTGTCCCGACGACCAGGTCACGGAAGAGACGGACAAGAAGCGCATGTTGTGGAGTGTTGGGGATATCGTGAACGAGAGGCCACCCTTGACCCGATGGAGGGAGGAGTACAAGGAGGAGGCTGAGAAGTGGATGGCGGAGCAGAAGGTGTAAATTAGGTGATAGTACAGTTACGTCCATCTGCATGGCATCAATTCATACCTCACACGTACCACGCAATCCCAGTCCCAACGCCACACACCCCCCCTCAACACCTCTATTCCCAAACATCATCCCCCTCAATATCATCACCACTTCAACCCGACAAAATTCTATATTCACCCATCTCCTCGTCAAGCAACCCCTTGATCTTCTCGTGATACTTGTCAATCCCACTCGGCCTACTCATCGCGACCCAAAGATCCTCCGGCACATCCACCCCCTTCTCAAGCTCACACGTCAAATTCCTTGTGAAAAGCGTCAAACCACACCCAGCTTCCACAAACGTATACGTGATCCAACAGTACCCCTTCACCCCACCGCTTCCATCCTCCCCCTCAGCAATCTTATTGACCTGCCGAAACGCGAATTTGCGACCACGATCCGCGATTTCAAGGATCCATTTGGGGTGGTAGGTGTTGTTTGGCAAAGCCACTTTTTCGGTCCAGACGTCGCCGACTTTGAGGGGGAGAGAAAGGTTTTGGCCTGGGGGCAGCCCGGAGCTGCCGGCGTAGGTGCGGCCCCAGTTTGAGGGGTTGGAGACGAAGTCGTAGATTATTTCGGGGGGGTAGTTGAAGATTGTTGAGGAGGTTGCGGTCATGATGCCCATGATGAGGTGGAGTGAGGACTTCGAGGTAAGTGCTGGGTTTGGGTTGATGATAATAGTGTGAGGATATGGGAGTCAGAGGTTGTGTTTAGAAGAAGTGGAAGAGCGACAGATTGAACAAGCGTGCGAAGTTAAGAATCTCAAATATGGTGCTGTCAAGGCACCTCTCCGAACCACCATGATTGGAACGAGTGTGTACCGGCTATTGGATGTACGCCGATCCGCTGACGTATGTCACGATGACTGATCCCCGCATCGAGCTCGAGCTACGGGTAGTCTTGCTTTTGCGCTGCTGTCTGGGATTGTGTCCAAACGGGCGGGGTGAGCTCCGCGCGCCGATCATCCAAGCCTGTTGGTCTTGCATCGTGAACATCGTCTCCAATCCACACCAATATTGTGCGCGCAAAACCTAGACTCGCGCATTGAAGTAGGAGGTAAGTGCCGGAACTGTAGTACGTCCCGTACTCTCTGAAGGTACTTCGTAACCATAATAGTTTGCATTGCGATGGTATCAGTTCTATGCCTCCTTGATCAACTTGCGCGTCGCACTCTCCATCCAGAGCTTAGTGTACAGCCTATGCAGCCACTGGATATGCCCTGGCTGTGGCCCAGCGTCCTTGCCCTCTGGCGTCGTATCCACAAACACCGACTTCAGGTGGAAGGTAGCCATCTGCGCCGCATCGTCTTTCGAGACCTCCATAGAGAAGAGGCCATCCGAGGGCCGGGGCTCGGAAACATGTGGTGAGTCGCCGCATCGCACAATAACCTGTGCGCAAATCAAGTCAGCCGACAAACCCCATTGCGCTCGCATGAAGTCTTACCTTGTCATCCTTATGCTCCACAACCTCAAAATGATCTACAATCTTCGTCCCAACCCCATACTCGCTCTTCGCCAACTCCTTCACATCCCAAAGATGTGTCTCCCTACCCTCCACATTCCGATACCACTTCTCCAACAACCTCCTCTGCACCCTAAACGCCACGCCGCTCCAAATGCCCCGACAAAAATCCGTCGTCAAAGCCGGTTGATCAACGGATATCCTGCCCCCATCGCCCTTGACCCAGTACTTCTCCGGCAGCTTCCCATACGGAATCTGCTTTACCGCATGGTCTATGCAGCCAGGCGGGTTTCCATTCGGGTTATGTGCGCGGAAGACGGCTGTGGTGAGGTCGGGGGAGGAGGCGTCGTAAGGCACGAATTTTGTGTTGCGCGTGTAGAAGGAGGAGACGCTGTAGGCGAGGAGGACGTTGGCGGAGAGGCCGCCGGTTATGCCGACGAGGACGCCGAGGAAGCGCTTCGGGCCTGAGATGCGTTTTATTGTTGGGGGTTTGGAGATTGTGTTCATTGTGAAGGTGGGAGGGAATTGAGATGGCGGTGGAGGGATTGGGGTCTGCGCCCTGGGTGGAGTGGAAGGAGAGGGACGGCGTTCGCAGCGGGATTGTCGCGTGGGGTGGTCGGAATGTTTTGGTGTTGAGGAGCTTGGACCCTCGGTGGGTTTTGGATGCCGAGGGTGCGTCGGCGATTGCTCAAGCTCAGACACCGACAACTTCATCTGACCAGCTCATCACTGCAGTCGCCTTGAATTCATCTTCACCATTACATTACTGGTACTAATAACAGGGCTATATCTCAACTCAATGCAGATGCGCAAGTGCGATACCAGAGTACGCGCTGTCCGTCTCGTAAATCTTCTTCTTCCTCCCTCCGTCCATGTCGAACCTGTACACGGTGCCACCTAGGTCAGTCAAGTAGACGTGCCGGTTCACAGCATCAATCTTCAATCCAATCGGCTCGTGGAAATGTCTCGCTAGCGTTACAACACCTTTCTCTCCCTTCGTCTCGGCACCTACATACGCCTTGTTCAGCGTGTTGCCTAGTGGATATTCGCCGCGGTCGGTCCAGTACAGCGTTTGGCTCTCAGCTTCGAACTCTAGATCGATGGGCTCGGGCAGGTGATCGAAAAGCAGTTCAATGTCGGAGCGGGATGATGCTGTCTCGTTGGCAGGCATCTGCATGTTTGCGCGGAAGATGCGGCCCTTGCCGCCCTTTGACGGGCCCTTCTGAGACCAGTAGAACTTCCCGCCCTGAGGATCGACTGCGATACCAACACACCAGTTTGTCTGGTCTTCTCCTTCCGCTGAGCTGGAGTCGCCAGTCTGCACGATGATCTCGTGGTTGCTGCCGTCAAAGTCACATCGATGGACGCGCAGGCCTTCCCTGTCGCAAATGTACAGCTTCTTGTTCTCGTGGTCGATCTTGAGTTGCTTGGGTGTGTGAATCTGGCCTTCCGGAATGATGGGTCGAACGTCGGTGCCATCGAGGTTCGCGGACATGACACTGCCGTTGTTCTTGGCGGGAGACGCGCCCATGTTCGTCCAGAAGATGCGACCAGCTGAGATGGATACGTCGATACCGTCTGGCATGGCTTGGCCACCCACAATCTCGCGCACGTTACTTCCATCCGCCGAAGCAGTCATGATCTTGCCGGAGGTAGCCATCTTCTGCAGATCGGTAACATTGCCTCCGATGCCAATGTCGAGGAAGTACAGTCTGGGCGCCGCGAGATTGTCGTGATGGCCGCTCTCATCCTTGGAGCTTCGCGTCGTCTCACCAGCGGGATACAAACCGCCTTTGCCAGACTTCGCACCGAGCTTGCCCTTCTCAACAAAGTTCTTCTGAACCCAGTCTCGCGCTGTGGGGTCACCGCCGCGCTCTTCAACATAGTTGTTCTCGATGAACGCAACCGTGTCCAATCCTACTGCATCCATCATTCCGCAAGGTCCAACCGGGTTATCCTTGAACATCGTCAAGAAAAGCCTGTCAATCTCCTCCGGCTCCGAAACGCCCTCCGCCATGATGAGCAGACTCTCCCTCTTAATGGCAGCCCATAACCGGTTGAAGATGAAGCCGGTCGACTCCTTGCGCGCGATAGCCGGAGTCATACCCGCGTCATGAAGTTTGCTTTGCAGAAACGGCAGAATATCTGCATGCGTCTCACCGCACGTCATGAGCTCGACAACGTTGTTACCCGGTGGCATGTAGTAATGCATATTGCAAACGCGATGCCGACTACCCGCGTCCACCTTATCGAGCATGAACCGCGACTTGTACGACGACGAGTTGGAAGCTAAGATACAATCCTTCGGTGCTTGTTGTTGAAGCTGGCCCATGATGTCGATCTTCAACGGAAGCTTCTCTGGTAATGCTTCAACCACCAACCACGCGTTCTTGACCGCCTCTTCAATGTCTTTGACAGTGTTGAATTGCGTTGGTTTCCGCGCATTACTGGTAAGTTTCGAGAATTCGTCCATATGGTGTTCGATGTAGTGTGTCGCGGCGTTCCTCTGCTCGTCGCTGAGATCGCACAACACGACCTCATAGCCGGCGGCGACCCATGAAGCGGCGATTCGTCGACCGAGGACTCCTCCGCCCAGAACGGCGACTGGTCGAGATGATGTGTCCGGTGCCGTCCATTGCGGTTGGGTGCTGCTGGACGCAGCTCGTGTTTGCGTATTCGACATGACTGAGTATGACAAAGGTGTTGATCGAGTGCGGAAAGCTGTGTCGAGACTCCTCACTCTTGGCTCCAGTGTTGTTATACGCGTGCTCAAACATCGCGTCCTCGCGTAGCCCGCAGAGGGCTCGGCCGAGACCCGCCGAACGCCTCTTGTCAATCGTCTTGCGCAAAGAGACATTTTTCGTTGTCGCGGTGTATTAGTCCAGACGGCAATCGATGCTGCTGGGCTATCGCTGATACCGCGACTTTCTCAAGCGCGTCTAGATGCATGTTGTATACCATTGGTTGACGCTAATGCAGCCTAGAAGCATGTAGGTGTTGCGTCACTGCCCAACAGCTCGGTAGACATCCGTGCAGTGCCGCTCGGGTGGCGACGTCATTTCGTACGGTGCTTTTTGTGTCGTGCGAGATGGGCGTTGGGGCGTGCGAGACGTTGGGCGGTGGTATGTCGGCCGAACTTCATGCTTGCTGCGCGAACTTGGGTTGTTGTTGCATGTGCGACTATGACGATGGTGAGGATGCGCGCGCGGAAGTTGGAAAGTGAAGGGTTGGTTGATGGTTATGTTTATTTTGGAAAGGTTGATAATTGCGATAGATTATGGAAGATGTGTATTGAACAAGTCCGGATCACCACCAGTTTATCCTAACTACTCCGACAACACCACTGCCACATCAGTCCAATATCCCTAGAATCCATAGCAGATTAAACACGATAATCACTGGAAAGTGAAGATCTCGTCCTGAGGCTTCGAAATTTTGCCTGAATATGAGTTAGCATGTATGCATCGGAGGTTGTCAAATAGTCTCAACATACCAGGTGCCTTAAACCCCCGTTCCTGCAAATACCCAACCATACTCTCCATCATCGGATCCGGCCCACAAACAAGAACCTTGCTATCCATACCCGCCGGCGCAGGCAAACGCTGCTCAATCATCTCCTTGCTAATACGACCCCTGTCGCCCTTCCAGCTCTCCGAAGGGCTACTCAAAACGTAGTGCACAGTGAACTGCTCGTACTGCTCCGCAAATCTGTCGAGTTCGTCTTTGAGCAGAATGTCTTCTTCGGTCTTGTTTGCGTATAGGAGTGTGGTCTTAGTGTCGTCGCGCGGGTCCTCGCAGATACGACGAATGATCTGGAACATGGGCGTGATACCCGTGCCGCCGGCGATCATACCGAGTTCCTTGACGAGGTTCTTGTGGTATTTCATCTCGCCCTTTGGACCGCGGATCTCAACGGTGTCGCCGACGTTTAGCTTGCTCAGCCAAGGTGTCAGTTTACCGCCTTCGTAGATCTTGACAGTCAGTTCCAGACGTCCGCGGTCCTTGTTGCTGGACGTAGGCGTGTAAGAGCGAGCAAGTTGCTTCCCGTCGACTTCGTGTCTGATGGCAATGTGTTGGCCCGTCGGCAGCCCCAACACGGAATTCTCATTCGGCAGCCCGAAGACGAAGCGGATGGTGTCGTGGGAGACGTTGAACTTGTCGATTAAGGGAAAAGGCTGGTAGACGCGGGCGTTTAGCACACCGAGGTTGATATCCTTTTTCTTCGTTGGCTTCGACGACATGGATTTGGCTTTGATGTGCGCGGGGTAGGATTGGAAGTCTTTGTGCGCAACGTCGAAGCTCTTGGTTGCCCAGAGGCTGGCGTAGCCGGCTAAGGCCATACTCGCGATGGAGGATACGGCGAAGCCCTTCCAGAAACCGGCGCTTTGGAGACGGTGCAAGAGTGGCGAGAAGCGTCGGCCTGCGACGATGGAAAGCACGACAGATGTCAATCCAAATCCAATAGCTCCTAGATGCAACCGCCACGATTTCGGCGGCGGCAGGTTGTTAACAACGTGCACCCTGCTCGGCGTGATCGTAGGCATCTTCGCGGCTTCATGGTCGGTCCAGTCCTCGTCTGCGATGCGCCCGATGCGGAAGTTCTCGAGGATCTCGCGTGCGTCTGTGGAATGGCCAATGTCTTCGTAGGCGGTTGTGGCGTCTGTGCCGGCGTTTTCGAGGAGGAACTCTTTACCGCCTGGGTGGTCTTCTTGGTAGTCGGTTACGTTGTAGACGTGGTTCCAGAGGGTGACCCATAGATCGGTTTTGCTGGTGTGCTGGGATACCTCGCGGAGAGTGTATACGCCGTCGGCCATGGTGTCTTCTTGTTCACGCGCTCGTCTCGTGATGGTCCGGTTGCAATGACTGGAAGGATTGATATCGAAAGAGAGGGATGCGTTCCGTCAGTTCACTAAAGGGGCGTCAGGGAGTAGAATGGCAACGATGAAGGCCTGTGGCCAAGACCCTTCATCGTCGCAATAGCCCCATCAAGCACATGCGCAACGGGCATACCGATCCACTACCCACTACGCATGCGCCGCGACCGAGATCTCGGACATTCGCAGCATCAGGATCTGTTGTTGCGCCATGACAAATGACAGCGCTATTGCGCAGCGGCTACCACGAGGTGTCCGGTGTTGGTGGAGCCAAGCCCCCCACTTACCTCGGCATCTCGATGCTTAAACCAATCAAGCCTCCGCTGACAATCGGAGGTGCCACCACGCGAGTGGCCTCGGTCCAAGCTTCTTACGCGCAACGCATACTTGCTAGATCTGTTACCTGGAATGAAATTTCGATCAACGGGCTTCGGCCGGGCTGGGTTCGCACGACCTGCAGTGTTTTTTGCTTTATTTTGGCGCGCTTTGAAGGGTGCATTGGGCTCTTCGGCGCTTTTTTCGTACGATGGAGCGCATGCCGGAGGTTGGTCAGTGGCGATGCGTCATTTCTACGGACTAGACGAGACCTGCAGGTGGTGGGTTGCAAGATGGATACGTAGTTTGGTGTGCTCTCATTTAGTCGCGTTATAGTCCTGTCAAGATTGTGACGCTTCAACCGTTATTCCATACTTTGCTACGCTTCGCTACGCAGCATCATGACTATCAAGGGCTTTTACCTCGTTGGGCAGGACAAGAATGTCTTTCGCCAGGATATTCACATTGATCAGTATCATGACTTTGAGGCGCTTCAGGTTGCTGTAGCGGAGCAGTACAATATTATTCAGTCGACTGGTATGTGAGATGATTGTGTTGGTGTGGGCATGGACTTACGATTTGCAGGTATCGGGCTTCAAGATGCGAAGGGAGAGGACCTCCACGATTTGGACGACGTATTGGATTGCGACGAGGATATAGGCATTACTGTCGACGGCCAGGCCATCCGCGATCCTTCAGGCCCAGAAGGTCTTCCTTTCGTGGGAAGCTACTACGAGGTCTTTCCCGATCATCTCGTGAGTTCAACTTGACAGGCGCGCGAACTACCACTAACCAGCTCAGGGAAACCATGCGCGTCTTTTCCAGAAGTACGGGTCTTTGATCAAGTACGAGACGATGGGCAAGCAGAATTACCTGACCAATGACCCTGCTATTGCGACCGTGGCTTTCCAAGAGTCGGCGTTCTTCAGCAAACACATCACCCCCGAGCATCCTTTGGCTGGTATCAAGGATAACAGGGCGTTGTTTATTTGCGACACCGACACCGATGCGTGGAGGCAAGCGCACAAGTTCATCCCGCCTTCCATGGCACCCAAGGCTATCAGACACTACACACCTCTGATGGAAGCCTCGGTAAAAGACTCGTTCAAGGTCTTTGACCAGCTCGATGAGCAGGGCGAAGCCTGGAACGTTTACCAGTACATGCTGAAGCTCGCATCCCAGACCGTCTTCAAGTTTGCGCTCGGATACGACGCCCACCACTTCGACAACCCAGATGCGCCGCTGAGCGAGCTAGTCATCTTGATCGCCCAATCACTCTCCCTGAACAAGAAAGTCGCGTCAAGAGGTGCCTGGTACGCAAAACTCAGCGCCATCCCCTTCACAGCAGCCTACGACCTCGACAAGATCCGCTACAGACTCTGGACGATCCTCAACCAAGCAATCGACCAAGCACCCAAAGGCAGCAACGAAGACGACCTACCCCTGCAGTCCGCAGCCCTAGGAGCCAGCTGCGTAGTCGACTACCTCAAGCGCGCCACCGACGACAACGGCAACAAACTCCCCCGCGAACTCGTCATCCCAAACATGCTTCCCATCTCCGGCGCGGGCTTCACAACCACCTCCTCCCTCCTCTCCTGGCTCCTCTACTCCCTCTGCGTCTACGAAGGCAATCAAGAGCGGCTCCTCCAGGAACTCGTCGACGCCGGCGTAAACGAGAACACAAAGTGGACGCCTGAACTCTCCGACGGCCTCACTTTCCTCGACAAGTTCGTCAAGGAGACACAGCGCTTACATAACCCTTCTTTCCAACCCGGGCGCACCGCTAAGGTCGATTGTATCGTCCCCGGCGGCTACAAGCTCCCCGCCGGCTCCGTCGTCATCTGCGCCCTGCACGCCATCCACAACAACCCGTCCATCTGGTCGAACCCCGATCGTTTCGACCCCGACCGCTGGGGCACAGAGGAGGTCTCCAACCGCCCCAAGAACTCGTATATGCCTTTTGCGACCGGCCCGCGTAGTTGCATTGGCTTCAACTTTGCGCTTGGGGAGGTTAAAGTGCTGCTTCCGGAGTTGGTGTATAGGTATGAGTTTAGTAAGGAGGGAGAGGAGGCGGTGACGTATGACCCTGAGTTCCAGCTTATTCGGCCCATGAACTTTTATGTTAGGGCGAGGAGGAGGACGAGTTGGCCTGAGCCGTCGAAGGGGGCGAAGAAGATTGCGGTGGAGTATCAGGAGGGGGAGGAGAAGCCGCCGATTTAGAGAAGGGTTGTAGTTGCATAGGCCGCGGTGGTTGTAACGTTAATTATTCTTGTGGTTCTCTTTCACTTCGCTTCCATCCACCGCGTGGTTTTATTGAAGTATGGTGATATAGTCCTGCAATCGATTTTATCAAACTTGCACTACTCCAATCTACGTTGCATTTATAGGCAGCATAACATGTGTAGCGCCCGAAAGCGCATGCAGCAGATCGGAACGAGAACCCGTGTTTCTCAACGGCGCGAATTCTTGCATTTCTTTGCCTATGATAGCCTATCCCAATACATCCACCCAACGCGGCTTGAAGGTACCAGAAGAACTAGAAAAGTGGTTCGCATATACTACAGTCAAGGTCGCAATGTTCAGCAACATGAACATTCCCTTGAAGAATTCCCCTGTAGTTCCTCTCGTACCGCACAAACGACGGGTAAAGTTAGATAGGTAGCCTATAAACAAAATCCTATATGCAATGTATGAAATGATAGGCGCAAGGATAGTAAAGCTAATCATCAATGGGAAGACTAACACGAGGTTGTGGTCATAGACTGGAAAAAGCGATATGCACCATAGACCCCACAGCACGCCAACGAGACACGTTGTGTAAAGGCACATAAAAGACAGACATTCCTTCGCAGTAGAAGAGCTTAGCGCAAACAACCCCGTGATAAATGCCACCAGGTTAGTGCGCATGTACTGAGAGATCTTAGAATCGTACACATACGATGCTGTGCCCTGCGGACAAAATTCGATAAGTAATTGCAGGAACCAGAAAAGCAGGAGAGCGACCGGAAATGCTAGCATCATGCCGAAAGGGACAATAGCCTCACGGCCGTGCAATACTATGAATTCCGAGATGACACGGAGGAAAAGGCCCATGACATACATTCCAGTTGCGAACCAGAAAAGGAACAAGAACGCTCCTTGAGATAGGAAAGACTTTGCATTCGAGACGATCGGTAAAGGATAGAGATTGAACTGACCGACCGGTCCCGCTAATGAGCGGAAGATCTCTGGAACAATGAACGCGACAAAGTATGTTCCCACGAAGAGTTGGGTGCCAGGCACGCCCCTCATGCTGAACACCTTGATAGCCTGTGGAGTCGCACCAAACATGAAGCTCATCATGCTTAATCTCCAGCCACGATCAACGATAGATCCGGGAGGCGGTTCCATGTAATTGATCGTGACCATAAAGGCATTTGGAGACAGTGATGGCGCTTCGACCGTGGCTGTATCGTCGTCGATCATTTGACTCTCACTGGCAACAGTGTTTGGAAGATCATTGAGCAATTCCCCCGAGGGTATCTGATGAGGGCGCTCCAGCTCCTCGGTAGCCATAATCCAAACTTCTGCGACGTCCATGCTGGGTACAGTAGCAGTGCGTACAGGCCGACCATTAGGCAAATCATCTCTGGGTCGCAAAGCCACCAAAGGTATATTGGTCAAGACAACTTCTTGATCGCTAACCACGGGAAGAGCACCAGAGCACATGTACTCATCCTGGTCAGTATTCGAATCGCCGTGCAGCTCTGCGGATGAGACAGGCTCGATCAGGTTATCGGCAGCTTCGCCAATCGGCTCTATAGATGGAGAAATTGCAAAAAGTTCCATTATCCACGAGATAACGGCGTCGTCTTGGTCTTTGTCGAATCGATCGTACCACACATGCCTGACTGCAGTTCGAGGCGAACAGCCAACAGCTAGCATGGCTACGAACTTCACTAACATCATCGATGTGTCGATTACACAAACGAGAGGACATGCGCGGAGGGCGTAACTATAGCTGAAAGGCGTTTCCATGACTCTTCCCGTCTCTTGTAATAATACAGCTAACATGCAAGCCATGACTGGCCAGTAAGCGCTTTGCCAGGAGACTTGGTGGGCGGCGGCATCTTCAGCTGCGAATGTGTTAGCACGAGCGTCGATGACTGGTGAAGGGGATCCAACTTACGGGATTTCGCAGTGGCCGGAAGGCTACCATTGCCCGTTGCATTCTGCGCGAGGTACATGCCCGATGCATTGAAAGGTGGCATGTTAGTTCGATGTCGAATGAAGTCAGATTTACAATCAAGAGCGCGGGAAGGCTGCCTTATAGACATTGCATGGTAGTACGAGGCTGAGAAACAATGGCTGAGCGAGTGACTGAGAGGAAAAGATAGGATTGGTCCAGTCAACGAAGATGCGCATGCAGATTGGGGGCTGAGCTCGCTGACATACGCCACCAAAAACGTGAACCAGTCAACAACACTGTATGAATCTTTGCAGTTGAGCCCAACCACCATGATCGGTAGCCTTGAAGCTAGAACAACGAAGACACACCACGATCTACGTGATGTAAATCTGCCTTTCAACTACTCCGCCTCCTCGACTTCTAAATAACGTGAAACCAGCTGCGCGACATGAATCTGCCTTCCACCTCCTCACCCCCTAACTCCTAAACAACATCAACCCCGCCTCCTCAGCATCCACACCCTCCCCTTCACTCTCCCCCTCCCCACCATCCTCCTCCCCAAGCCCCACCCTCTGCCCAAACAAACTCCCAAACAACTCATCCCTCTGCCTATCCCCCCACTGCCCCCTCTCCTCTGGCGCCATAAAATTCTGCAACTTCTCCTGCACCGTATACCTCAACCGCCTCCCCTTACTCGCCTTCGTATCAACAACCTTCTTCGTCTTGGCCTCGCGCGCAACCTGCCACGGCGCCTGCACAACGAATTCAGCGGTTCCATTGCTGTTGAGGTCGGCGGAGCGCTGCTCGAGCAGTTCTTTGAGCATGAGGCCGTAGAAGTCGGCGTCGTCGTAGATGGCGGGGGTGGGTTGGGGAGTTTTGGTCGAGGATTGGAGGGGGGCACAAGAGCGCGGGGTTTGGGTGCGGAGGACTAGGTGGGGGGATGAGAGCTGTGTGTCTAGGACTTCGGTTAGGGTTTGCTGGGCGGAGGCGTTGAGGCGCGCTTTGTTGTTTGTGACGGTTGTGGCTTTGGTTTTGTTGGACCAGCGCTCTAGGACGGCTTTGCGGTGGGGGAGCGTGGTTTTCTCGCTGGCTTGGATGGTGGTCCAGATTTCGGAGGATGGGGTCGCGGAGTCGAATGTTGGGCGCTTTCGCTTTTGACCTGTTCGCGACTCTTCTAGGGAGAGGCGCAGGTTCGTGAGGTTGTTGAGGAGAGTCAGAGCAGCTGCCTCTGCCGCCTCGATGGGCGCGTCTTTCGCGGTTTCCGTCTTGTAAGGCTCTGCAGCCATGGAGTTTGTGGAGATCAACGCCTTTTGTAGTCGAATGCGCGAGTTGAGCAGCGTATCGAACGTTTTTCGCTGGGTCTTCACGGCTTCTCCCTTGGCGACGTCGGACTGCGTGCCAGCAGCGATGCCCGACGTGAAGGACTTGTTGGCGGACATGAGGTCGCGGATGGTAGACGCGTCGGTTTTGACTTCGGCGCCAGGCTCATCATCGTCTGAGCCTTCGGAGTCGTTGGCCTCGTCGTCGCTCCCGCTTTCGCCTGCGCTTCCCATCTCCTCGTCTTCGTCGCTCATGTCCTCGTCAAAATCGCTGTTCATGTCGTCCTCTTCGCTGTCCTCTTCGCCATCGAGCTCTACGCCATTGATGCCATCCTCATCGTCACTGCCACTAGCCTCGCTGTCTACATCGTCGAAGCCTTTCGCAAATGGATCGTCGCTGTCGCTGTCCTCGAGTGCCTTGCGATCCACCTTGCGCCCAGTGTACTCCGGCCCCAGAGGAACCTCAACCGGTTTCCTCAGCTTGCTCTTCCCAACTGACGTATAATGTTCGCGCCCAGCATTGTCATCTTCAACTTCGGAGAGTTCGTCGGAGCGCTCGTCTTCGCTGGAGCTCGGCGCAGGGTCGAGTAGCGACTCGGGATCGAAATCTGGTTGTCATGTGAGCAAAATCCAGTCGCGCATATACGCAAAGTTCGTACCTCTGATCTTGGACTTCCCCATAGTGTACAAGTGGTTTGGTGTTGGTGTTGCTGGTGAAGCGCGTCGGAAGAGAAAGTTCACTCTGTGCCCCACAAAAAAGTTCAGTGACATCGGCTAAATGAAACGCCGATGCGCGTCACCTCCGCCATCAACTCCGCAACCCCCGTTTCTATCACGACGATGCTGAAGCCACGGTTGTTCTCGACGTTGCGATGTCTGCAACATGAGAACCCACTCGTATGTTACATGCTAGGGTACATGAATGCGCAACAGCTGATGGCGAGCGCAGGGTCTTCCGCGCTCAGGCGCACCTCCGCAAATGCCGCGCATGCAGCGAGGCTTGCCACAGAAGCGGAATATCAAAGATGTGAAGAAAGTGATTGCTGTCTCGTCTGCAAAAGGTGGCGTGGGTAAAAGTACTATCGCTGGTATTTCTTACCGTCTATGACCAAATCCAATCCGCAATACTGAAACAGTGTTGCAGTCAACCTCGCCTTAAGCTTCGCGCGTCGTGGTTACAAAGCCGGCATCCTTGATACCGACATCTTCGGCCCATCAATACCGACCTTACTCAATCTATCTGGCGAACCACGACTTTCATCCAGTCAGTCCCTACACTGGCTCAGCTTCCAATCAACCTCTAATCCCACACCCCAGACAACCAACTCCTACCGCTCTCCAACTACGGCCTAAAGTCCATGTCCATGGGCTACCTCATCCCAGAATCCTCACCAGTAGCATGGCGCGGTCTCATGGTCATGAAAGCACTACAGCAACTCCTCCACGAAGTCGAATGGGGCGGCCTAGACGTCCTAGTCCTCGACATGCCACCCGGCACCGGCGACGTCCAACTCACAATCACCCAGCAGTTTATTCTAGACGGCGCACTTATTGTATCAACGCCGCAGGATCTGTCACTCAAAGACGCGGTGAAGGGCATTGAACTGTTCCGCAAGGTTGATGTAAAGCTACTGGGTCTGGTGTGCAACATGGCGGGCTTCAAATGTCCTGGTTGCGGAGACGTGCATGAGGTGTTTGGGAATATGGAGAAGATCAGGGCGATGTGTGGGAAGTACGATTTGAATATGCTAGGCGAGATTCCGCTGCACGCGAGTATCAGCGATGACGCTGATCGTGGGAAGCCGACTGTGGTAGCGGAACCGGAGGGTGAGCGGGCTATGGCGTTTGCTAAGATTGCACAGCAAGTGGAGGGTCTCATTGGACTAGAGCGGTAGTCGTCCACTGACCCCAAAGGCACTATTACCCAACGACATCGCTGCTTCACACCCCGATCTTCTGCAATTCCCTGAAATACCCATCCAGCTCCTCGCTTCTCCAAGTAAACCGCACACTCACACCCTTACTCATCAGTCTCGCCCTCACGCCCCTCACCGCGCTCAGAATCTCCTCGACCCTTTCCAACTCGGACGCCTCGATCATAACGTGTAGCCTAAAGCCACGGAGCTTCTTCATCTTGAGCACTAGCTCAATATGCTCGCTAAACACGTCCGCTGGCCTCACGGGTCTTATACACAGAGTCCGCCCCGTACATTCACGTTTCTGAGGCTCGTAGTCTTTTATATTGCCCCGCAACACGACGCTCAAACAACGCAAGTGCTCCGCAGGTACGATGCTGGGGAAGACTGTGTCACCGAGGGAGATGTCGCGGAAGAAGGTATCTAACGCCACAGAGTCGTGGATGAGGAAGGTGTTGACGGCGAACCAGGTCGTGACGACGTAGTGTGTCATGTAGCCCATGTACTTCCAGTCGAGATGGTGTTTGCGGCCGTCGGTCACCATGTTTGCTAGCGCGTCACGGACGCTGATGCTATTCGTACAGGTCTGATCGGATATCACTGCCGGTGCGCCCAAAATGACTGGTGTGCCCTCATCCGTCAAGTACGCGGCGATTTTGCTCCTGATATCCTCCGGCAGATCATGGATAATCTCCATAGTGAGTAGCCGGCAAGACAATGCGCCATAGTCATAGACTACCCGATCAAGGTCCCTAAATCACATATTAACATCATTGTCATGCAGGTTCAATCGCAACTCATTCTTACTCAGTAGCTGAATTATACGCCCGCGTCTGCGCAGAGCTAAAACACAGGTACTTGTGAACAGGCTTGTAGCATTCGTCCCAACTAGCGCCGTCTCCAGCTTTATCAACAGACTTTTGGATCTTCTTGCGAACTTTTCGTATGCAGTCCGCTACATACTGCCGCGTTTGAATTGCTCTGGTGGGGAGTTAATGCGGGCGCGCCGTTAGTCTACCCTGTTACCTAGGTACGTACCGAAGTAGCTCCCGTCGCGTAGTGTTTACCACAGTAGGCGTAGGAAAATCGGCTCCACGGCCTGTTAATGCTGTGAAGTAACTTTGGATATCGATGCGTCTCGTTTTTAGAGGGAGGGATCGGAGCGGCTGTCCTGGTCCCACTGGTGCGTCCATGCTGTTGCTGGGTGGACGACGGGGAGGGAAGGTGTACCGCGATGACGTCCTTGCGGGGCGTAGCGCGCTAGCAAGTGCACGGTCGTGTCACGTCTAGGCATCTGCATCCTTCGCCATGGGGATTGCATATTCGTTTCCATCGGTTATGGAGTATGATGCGAGTGTCTTATCAAGAAAGTTGCAAGAAATCGACGACGCAACTAATCCGTGCTTGGGATGCCATGCTATCGCCACCCTGGTGTTACAGCAAGGATGCGAGATCCCGCGTGAATGCGCGTCCGTTGCACGCGACAGAAACAACTTGGCGACGCGCAGAGAGGCATGCTTGTTCGAGTGCGTCGAGACCATCAAGCAAAAATGCACTTTGGTTCGTCATGTATACCGCAGCGCATGTGTTGAATACCTCCCTCGTACGAGACGAACATGCTGCTCACCGTGGTAACAGCACAAACAAACGCATCACGATTCCCCAACCACACGTCGAAGCCTCGCTCGGCCGACACCTTGGTCATCCATGCACAACAACTTGGTCATCACGTACAACAATTGTACACGCTGATGAAGCAGATAAGACCAGGAACATTTCCTTCTGGACGCCTTACCCGGAGTGTCATTTGCTCCTTTCATTAGTACACGACCTCGGAAATGTAGTACCCCGCAACAACCCCGCACAGTATCGACTAGACTATCAATCACAGGCCAACGTTGCGGCTGTGACCCTTCGCCCTGGTGTATGCTGTCCTACTAAATCGTCCTCCACGGAGCAGCTTTGGGTCACGCACAGCTGTCAGCATTGGCGACTAATACGCCCGGCGCCCGATGCCCGCTGTAATGTAAGATAACATGTACCCGGTGTCGATCTATAAAGTTGTGATGCTTCTCGTTGCACTTTGCTCCTCCATCAGTCTGTAGAACAGTTACGACCACTTTCCCAGTCTTTCGTCGTATCATCGCTCCGAAGATGGCGCCAGATCTGAACACGATAGGCAGTGGCAAGCAATGGGATTACTCAACGCCTGGTTCTGGCGGCTACAGCGTCCCAGACATCGTCTATAATGTGTGTCCTGATACCCCGAGCTTCTAGCAAAGAACTGATGATCTTCCAGGACCCTTCATCGCGAAAGCTCAAGGTGCTGACTATTGGAGCCGGCTTGTCTGGCATCCAAATGGCGTACCATATACAGAAACACACGCAGAACGTCGAGCATGTCATCTACGAGAAGAACGCCAATCTAGGAGGGACGTGGCTCGAAAATAGATATCCAGGTACATCCACTAGTGAATCTTCGCGTGAGTGAGCTAACCCCTGCAGGTTGTGCCTGCGACATCCCATCGCATGCCTACACCCTCAACTTCGCTCTCAACCCAGACTGGCCGCGCTTCTTCTCCTACGCACCCGACATTCAAAAGTACCTCGAAAAGGTCTGCGATGTATTTGACCTGCGCAAGTACATGACATTCAACACCGAAGCCGTGCGAGCCGAGTGGCAAGATGACGTCGGCAAGTGGAAGGTCACGCTCCGCCAGACCTCATCTTCTGGCGAAGAACGAGAGTTCGAAGAGGAATGCGATCTCCTCCTCTACGCTTCCGGCATCTTGAACAACTACAAGTGGCCTGGTATCAAAGGCATCAACAGCTTCAAGGGTCGCATCGTTCATACCGCGACATGGCCGAAAGACTACCAAAGTGAGCAGTGGAAGGACGATCGCGTGGCGGTCATTGGATCTGGTGCTTCTTCCATCCAAACAGTACCGACCATGCAACCGCATGTAAAGCACATGGATATCTTCGTCCGAACCGGAGTTTGGTTCGTCCAAATCGCGAACAACTATGGCCAGAACAAGGAGTACTCGCAAGAAGAGCGAGACGAGTTCCGGAAAGACCCGCGTAAGCTCGTTGCGCATGCCAAAGATATCGAGAACCAGGTCAACGGGTTGTGGGGCGCGTTCTACGCTGGAAGTGAAGCGCAGAAGGGTGCGCAAGAGCTGTTCAGGGAGAGGATGAAAGAGTTTCTCAAGGATGAACGACTCTTGGAGGGATTCACGCCGAAGTTTGAGGTTGGCTGTAAGTTGCATACAGTTTTGAAGAAAGGCTTCGTCACTGACATTCCTGCAGGCCGTCGCATAACCCCAGGCGACCCCTACATGAAAGCCATCCAAGAGCCAAACGTCGACGTTCACTTCACCGCCGTAAACGAGATCACCGAAACCGGTGTCATCGGCGCCGACGGCATCGAGCGCCCCGTCGACACCATAGTCTGCGCCACGGGCTTCGACGTAACCTACCGCCCCCGCTTCCCCATCATCGGGCGCAACGGCGTCGACCTCTACGAAAAATGGAAGCACGAGCCCGAAGGCTACCTCGGCCTCGCCTGCCCCGACATGCCCAACTGGCTCATGTTCGTCGGCCCAACCTGGCCCGTCGAAAACGGGTCCGTCACCGGCCCCCTCCTCGCAGTCGCAGAATACACCATCCAGATAATCAAAAAGATGCAACGCGACCACATCAAATCCTGGGTGCCCCGCCAATCCATCACCGACGCCTTCAACGCCCACGCCCAGGAATGGATCAAACACACCGTCTGGAAAGGCCCCTGCAGATCCTGGTACAAGAACAACGAGACCGGGCGGGTCAACGCCGTTTGGCCCGGTTCCTCAAATCAGTACGCCGAGGTTATTGAGACGCCAAGGTATGAAGACTTTGAGATTGAGTATATGCATGAGAATCCTTGGGCAAGTCTCGGTATGGGGTATGCGATGCGGAATAAGTTGTTTCCCGAGGCGGATGTGAGTCCGTATTTGGCGGTGGAGAATATTGATCCGGAGTGGTTGAAGGCGGTTGGGTATGAGGGGCCTGCGGGGGTGGTGGAGGAGGTTAGGGAGAGGAAGGAGGGGGTGGAGGTTGAGAGGACGGGGGTTGATGGGGGGGTTGGGGGTGGGGATGGGAATACGCTGACATGAGGGGTCGCGGTGATGTTATCTTTATATACTCGAGATGAAGTCTATTTCACGCGGTCGTGCCGCCGTCCCGAGTCAATCATCGTTCTTTGTTGAGTGTAAGCACATATTGCTTTGTGTTGGGCTCAAAAGGCGTTGAAGCTACACGCCGTATGGATAAGTGGATGGACCATTTGAGATCTTTGCCGCCTGCTGGCTCTTGAATTGGAACAACTTTACGATCGAGAGCGTGATTCGGCTTTGGTTGTGGTATATGTGATGGGTGTACGTATAGTGGTGGTGGTGGTGGTAGTGGTAGGTACGAAGGTCTGGGTAGTCGAGCTGGCCCAGCATCTGACTCGCCAGCACAAGGCATGATCTCAGCGGAAAGATAAGGATTTTGATTCACGCGTACGTGAACAAAGATTCTTAGTGTTAGACCGACCTTGAGGTCGAAGTTGAACTCGAAAACGCTGTTTCCGCGTCCAGTGTACGGCTTCTCAGTAGGCAGCTGTCTAGCTGGATCACTAGTAATACAGCTACTTGTGTGTTCCCAGTCCAAACTCCACTCCGGTAAATCAATAATTGACTGCACGCGATCACCGAATGAGAACCGCGCAATCTCGGGGCGTAAGGTAGGCTTTATCGCGATCCGCAACATACAGTAACCTTCGCCTTGGGTCTTAGAGGTAGACACATCCGAAGGGTCGTCGTCACTCGATGTGATCGCGTAAATAGAAGTGTACCGAAAGTCTTTTGTAGCACTCTTAGGAAGGAGAATAAGGGTACTCTGTTTCCCCTCGGTATCCCAATCTGTCTCAAATCGATACTCGCTGCCTCTAACTCGACGCAGCATTACGCACAAGAGAAGGCTATCACATTTTGGACGTTCTAAGCACGCAAGGCAGCCATACCACGATTGTTCCTCGTGACGGAATAGAGGTAGACTCAGATGGCAACCACGGCTGGTAAGGCGGGGAGGCGAGTGATCTTCGGGGGGTGGAAGTGCGGAGAAGCAAGTCTTGGACAAATTATCGCGAAGCACGATCTTATCACCATCTGCTAACTCCGCAGAGACCAAATCGAGCACCGGTGTAAAGGTTTCAAAATCTGACGGCGAACTGGCTAGAAGGCTTTCTCTCGGTAAGAGTGTGTCCCAGGCAAATAGAGTGTAGTCTTCGTCGACTCGAAGCACCTCCTCCTGAAGGCGCCGAAACGCGCGTTTGCCTTCGCCGTAGAGAAGGGGCATATTCACACCGAGTATCCCAAAAAGACAGTATGCCTTATCCTCCAACCGACTCGTCTGCCGATTTGCCGCCCATGACAGCCTTACGGCAACCGCATAGCGAAGAGGATCTCCACCAGTGAGCACGTCTCGGTTGATACCAGTAATATATGTTAGCTTGGCTTGAAGGCTGTTGCGCGTCCCGAGTTCTGACCAGAGAGCGTCATAAAACTCCACGATTGGAGGCGCAATAAGCTCTTGCAAGGTCCATCCTCGTGTGAACCACTTCGAGTTCGCGAATGATCCGAACCCGCCCGTTCCGAGCTCCTGGTTAACATCCTC